GTGGTTAATACACATATGGGGTGACATTGAAAGTATGGTCTTAACTTTCTAGAGGCGCTTATCAGCGCAAGTTCCAATTTCTCTAAGTGTGGATATCTAATTTCCGCTTCTCTTAAGGTTCGATTTACATAATACACGGGAAATTGTGTACCTTCCTCTTCTCGAACTAGGACACCACTTACCGCAATTTCTGATACTGCCAAGTACAAGCAAAGTTTTTCGTCTGTTTTTGGAGTATGAAGCAGTGGTGGGCTCGATAGATATCTCTTCAATTCCTCTAATGCCTGTTGGCATTCCGGGGTCCAAGCGAAATCATTCTTCTTTTTGAGTAGAGAGAAAAATTTGTGACTTCGATCTGACGACCTTGAAATGAATCAGCCTAAGGCGGCAATCCGTCCTGTTAGCCTCTGCATGACTTCTACATTGTTCATGATGGTGATGTCTTCGATTGCTTTTATTTTATCGGGGGTTGATCTCGATCCTCCGATTTTATACCATAAAGCATATTTCTCGGGGTTGAGCTTCATGTTGTATTTTCTTAAAATCTCGAATGTTTCCTGCAAATGAGCCAAATGGTCTTCTGCGCGCAGGGACTTAACTAGCATGTCATCAATATAAACTTTCATTGATTTACCTATTTGTTCCTCGAACATTTTATTTACTAGGCATTGGTAAGTAGCCCCTGTATTTTTTAGCCCGAAGGGCATCACATTATAACAATGTGTTCCATACTTGGTAACAAATGAAGTCTTTTCCTGGTCTTCCGGGTTCATTTGGATTTGATTATACCCGGAATAGGCATCGAGAAAAGTAAGGACCTCGTGGCCGGCCGTGGCATCGATCATGCGGTCGATGTTGGGCAGCGAAAAAGAATCTTTGGGGCATGCTTTGTTTAAATCCTTGTAATCTACACACATTCTAAGTTTGTTCCCCTTTTTAGGGATTACAACTACATTGGCTAACCATTCGGGATACTTCACCTCCCGAATGGATCATATTTTGAGAAGTTTAGTTACCTCGTCCTTTATGAATGCGTGCTTTACCTCGAACTAGGGTCTTCTCTTTTGCTTCACCGGTTTGAACCTAGGGTCCAAGCTTAGCCGATGCGTTATTATATCCGACGGGATCCCTATTATATCTAAATGGGACTAAGCAAAACAATCTATGTTATCGATAAGAAATTAAATAAGCTTTTTCCTAAGTTCGGGGGTTAATCCCGTTCCCAGGTATACCTTTCGTTCGGGCAAGTGCTCGATTAGTATGACTTGCTCCAATTCTTCAATCGTTGATTGGGTAGCGTCGGAATCATCGGGAACCACGAATGATCGAGGGATCCTTTGATCATCATCTTCATCGATCTTCTGATTTTCTAGTAGGGTTAAAACTGATGTCTGTGATTGTTATTTGGCATCTCGTTCCTCTTTTGAGTCCGACCCCTTTGTTGATGAAGGTGAGGATATCGGAATTGCTTCTTCGACGTCAAACATTTCTCTTGCGGTCGGTTGTTCTCCGTACACTGTTTTGACTCCCTTCGATGTTGGGAATTTAAGAACCTTGTGTAGGGTTGGCGGTACATCTCTCACGTTGTGGATCCATGGCCTTCCAAAAAGGGCGTTGTACCTCATGTCACCATCGATTACATGGAACTTCATTTCCTTGATGGTCCCGACCACGTTTATCAGTAGAATTATCTCGCATTTGGTGGTTTTACATACCATATTGAATCCGTTCAGAACTAGGGTCGCGGGTACGACCTGGTCCCATATACTGAGTTGTTCTACAACCTTCGATCTAATAATATTGGCCGAGCTACCTGGATCAATTAACACACGCTTAACGTTAGTTTTATTCATAAGTACGGATATTACCAGTGCATCGTTATGAGGTTGCATGACTCCTTCTGCATCTTCATCATTAAAGGACAAAGTTCTTATGGGTGCATAATCCTGAGTTCGAGGTCGCTTTTCTCTCATATCCGATGTCTTAGCGCGTTTAAGCACCGGCCCTTGAGGGGTATCGACACCGTCGATGATCATGTGGATGATGTGCTGTAGTTCTTCTTGTTCATTTTGTTTGCGAAATCCCTATTTTTGAAATGGTTCTTGGCCCTGTCGCTTAAAAATTCTCGAAGGTGCCCTTTATTGAATAACCGAGCTACCTCCTCTCTTAGTTGCCTGCAATCTTCCGTTCTGTGGCAATGTGTGCCATGATATTCGCACATTTGATTAGGATTCCTCTAGGCAGGATCAGTCTGCATGGGTCGAGGTCACTTAGTGTCTTTGATGCGTCCGATAGCCGACACGATGGCGGATGCATCGATGTTGAAGTTATACTCCGGTAACCGTGGTGCTTCTTTAGATCCGGTAGGCCCGTCGAACCTATTTCTGTTCATCAGCCCCGAGACCTTTGACCTCGATCGCTTCTTTTGTTGCTTTGTCTGGGGTTACATCTCGATTCATTGATTCGGTGGTTCCCACTATACGGTCGGTATCGGTCCCTGATCGAACCTTGTTCTCGATTGGCATCCCTTCGAACAACGAGTTCAGATCCCAAATGATCGTCTTCGACTCTAATTTTTGATTGGTACCGATTATGCATGTCGGCCCAAGTAATAGCTGGGTACTCGATCAGGTTATGCTTTAACTGCCGCGAGGATGTCGAGCTTCGTTCGTTCAGACCTTGAGTGAAAGCCCGATCAGCCCAATCGTCTGTGACTGGTGGCAGATCCATTCGTTCCATTTAAAAATGAGATACGAACTCTCTCAGCATCTCGTCATCCTTTTGTCTTACCTTGAGCATGTCTGACTTCCTGGTTTCGACTTTTATGGCCCGGCGTGTGCTTTTACGAATGAATCTGCAAGCATAGCAAAGGAATCGATAGAATTAGATGGTAAATTATGATACCATATCATCGCTCCCTTTGACAGGGTTTCACCGAATTTCTTTAGTAATACAGATTCGATCTCATCATCCTCAAGGTCGTTCCCCTTGATGGCACATGTGTATGAGGTGACATGTCCGTCTGGTTGGTAGTTCTGTTATATTTAGGAATCTCGGGCATGCGAAATTTCTTTGGGATTGGTTTAGGAGCCGCGCTTGGGGGGGAGGGGAAGACTTTTATACGATTTTTTTGGAATCTAAGTCCTTCAATATCTATGGTTCCCTCGGGATCTGATCAACCCGGGAGTTATATGTTTCCACCTTTTTATCGTTTGCTTCGATCCTCCTTTCTCCCGATTCTATTCGTTTGGTCAGTTCTTCGAACATCTTAGCAATTTCGGGATTAGTCCTCGACTCCTGCTCATTTGATTTTATTATAGCTGGTTCCGTTGCATGGGCGATTTCTTGAGGTTGACTGGGCTCCGGCCTGCTCGGTATCTGGGTTTGACTCTGCAACCGAGCTATTGCTGCCTGTTGATTTTGCAATATTTCAAAAATCATGCGCAAGCCGATACCGTTCTCCTCGACGTTATTGGTATCTCGAGCTGCAGATCGAGTGCCACCATGAATGCTATTTTCAGGTTCAGAATGTAAGTTCGTCTCAATGGCCATATGCGAATTAATGTCTATCGGCACTTCGATTCGAGCCCTAACGTCGTTGACAATCGGTCTTTCGGTACTGGATGCCAAGTTGTTGTTCTCATCTTGAAGACCAGATTCGTTGTCGATAGGTAAGGATTTATTGATAGTTAGTCGTTGCTAATCCGAAATCAAAGACACTTCCGGAAACAAGCGCAAAACGGTGTATTTTTGCAGATTCGTATCAAATAACCACTGTTATCCTTAGCCCCACGGCGGGTGCTAAACTGTTTACCCGAAAAAAGGATAAAGTTAAATTTATACGTAGTTCTAAGGATAGGTGATATAACTTAATACAAATCATAAGGATAAATAGAAATATCAAATATGGATTACCAAAGAATGCAAAATAGACAAGGTTGGAAAGAAGATGATTTTTAGGACTAAGCAAGATGAATCAATTTATGAAGCTCAAAAGAATAACTCTTCAATATAGGAGTGTATGGTGTTTTTTGTTACAATATAGGCAGAGAACCATATTGTACAGAAATGTAACCATCCTCCTTATAGTGGAGGATCCTACTTTAGATATAATTAAAAATACATAGTGGGGAACCCATGATAAATCAACGTTTTCCTAATTTCCGCCGAGATTCCCTCCCTAAATGTGGTTGCAACGGCTCTTGTATGTAAGCTCGAGCTTGATCGGACTCGGTGCTGGTCGATATTGTTTTTAGAGCTTGACGCGGACTTGAGCTCGATGCTGACTCGAGGTTTGGTAATGACTCGGGCTCGGTATCGATTGACCTTTGCCCCTTAAGCTCGATTCCATAACATCTCACCATGGTTTGATTCGGACCTGAGATCGATAATGACTTCGAACTCGGTGCTTGATCTGTCCCCGAAAATCGAAGCTCGTTCGTGCCTTCTTTGGTCCCATCTCGATATTATAAAGACTTTCTTCTATCCATTATATTTCGACCTCGATCAATCGTACGAAAGCCGAAATCTATTTCGACCGTATACAAATTTGTTAGCCAATAGATTACTTTGTTTCACGCTTAGAAAGCAAATATAGTCTACCATTTTGCAGAAGAACTCTATTTTTAAAATCTTTAAAACAATATTCTGTAATTTTAAAGGATCAGAAAACTTAAATTGACCAATTGTGCTATTCATATTGAAAAATAAAAATATCCCACCCCAACCCAAGGGGAAGGGGATATGAAACATCTTTTATTTGAAGAAAAAAAAAATGTTCGGGGAAGAGCTCCACCCCAAGAGGGTGTGATGTCGCTAGTTTGTCGTGATACAAGTATCAATGACTAATTCCACGGCTTGAACTCCAGACCTATAGATCATACAAAGCAACGGCTCCTTTTTTTTCATTTGAAGATGAACATGAAATATGCTTCTCACTTCTCACCCCTCATTATTTTTGTGGTAAAACAACAGAAAGCTTAAAATGAAATTCAACAATGAAAATCCTTACTACCAGTATATAGCGTATATATAGTTAACTTTCTATCGACATGGTAAAACATCTCAGTTATTGGCAAAATGTTAACAAGACTTTAAGAGGTGTGTGTGAGTATTTTTTTTCCCAAACCGTTAGCCTGAAAAGGACAAACGAGAGATCTTGTTGTTTCTTCAATAATATAAATTCGTATCTCTAGTGGACCTCTCACTCAATGAAACATTTGATTAGTAAAAGCAATAGAATTATGACTCTCTTCGTCCTCCTCATCCTCTTGATGAATGGGATCAAAACTTGGAGAATTATTAGGGACATTTGTAGCACAAGTATCATCAGGCAGCTGATCAAAAGCAGTGGAATTGAAAGTATTAGCACTGTTAATGTTGTTGATGAGGTTGTTGTTTGAAACAGAAGAATTGTTTGAGTAAGTTGGCTGTAGAATTGCAATGTTATGTTCTTGGTGGAGTTGTTGCTGCTGAAGATGATGTTGTTGTTGTGAAGTTTGTAAAGCATTTTCCATTGCATATCTGTTGTTTATTAGTTGTGTCTGCACTACTGCTAGCTCTGCTTGTAAGGATGCCACCTACAAAATTCATGCAATTGTACTTGTTCATATCAGTCCCATATTGATGATGTATAGCTTTTTACAATATTAAATCAAAGTGCCCTATAACATAACCGATAACTTAGGCCAATTTAGTAATTACTTAGAAATTAAAGAAAGTTACCAACCTTCTACAACCAGGTAAAAACCATTGACAATCTATAATTTTATTTACATTATTAGTGTAAATAAGTTAAGTCATTGTATATCGCAGTTATAAATTATTTAAGAATTCAATAATCTTTTCATGGTCCGGCTTTTTTAGAAATCATTTTCATTATTACCAATGTATGAATTTAGTTCCTTGGTGTGGAGTCACTACAAAAAAAAAGAGAGGATAATTTGAGAGGTTAAAATTGTAATTTGCGAAGGTTGGAAACCTCCACTATTTACTGTCAAAAAATAACTTGGATCATTTTAACTCCATCCATTTACCTTAAAACAAGCCTTATATTAGTAGTAGTTGTTTTGAACCAAATAAATAAATAAATATAGTACTATTCATCAAGGAAATGACAAATCGTGATAGTACTTAATTAGCAGTTATCATTGCCGACCCAATTGGAATAGTCTAACGTTCCAAAAAATTAGACTGAAAATTTGTTATTCTCTACAGGAAAAAGGTTACTTCAAAAGTTAAAGTGTTGTTACAATTAACAGAAATAAAAACCAAAATATTAAATAACTAATGTTACCATCAGAATCATGACAAATTATCACATCAATAAAGAATATATCTAGAAGTACTGAACCTGTTGTTGCAAAGCAAGGATGGTCGAAACACAACCATAAACAGGATCCGAGAGTCTAGCCTGAGCTTCATAAGTTATAGTGACCACCGCATCATGGCGCCGGTTAGCCGGAATATGCAACAATAACTTAGACACATTGCTGGCTCCAAACACCTTGTGCACGGCCGCGAACCGAGCCGCGCCTTGGTCGGAGCCATAATGGGGTGCAAAAATGCACCCACTGATGCATTTTCTTCTCAAGAACTTGCATGCACCACAAGGAGCCGTGGAAGTCAGAAGTGTTATAGAAGCTAGTGGCTCCACGGCTCCGGTAGCACGCTTTCCAGGGCCCTTACGTCGATTCTCCGATGTGCCATCACTTGATGGCTCATCCATATGGTGGCTTTGCTAAATGTAGAGTGAGAATTTAGTTAGTACGTAGTATAGTAAAAGAAAAAGGGTGTTAAAAGACTTGTGTTTTATAAGAATAAGAATGAAGAAATGCATGTAAGTCTCGTGAAGGGTTGGCAAAGGTAGAGACGTTAAGGTTGGTGAGAGCTGAGAAATATGGGGCGTGGGGGGTTTGTTGTAGGGGAAGGGGGAAATAGGACTGTACTTCTTGAGTGTGAGGAGCACGTGCAAAGAGAATGTTACTACATGTGCACTTAGTTTTAATTTAATCTAACTAGTCATGTTCTTATTATTATTTTAGATCCAATGTTTTCTGCTACTCTTTTAATTTTATCAGAAATTTATGTAAGTAAATATATATAAAAACTTTATGTAGTATTTTTTAATTTTAACTTATTTTATATAATATTAAATTGAAATAAACTTATAAATATATATTTCAATTTAGATGTCGCATTTCTCTTATTGAGAGTTAAACGGTGTTAAGTTCCACCAATATTTTAAAATGTATATTTTTATCATACTGACATGAGAAAAATTATATCTTATAGTATTTTTCGCATAGTTGTTGAATATATCTAAATTTTAATTTTAAAATACTTAGTTAAACTAATCCAATTTAGCTTCAAAATATAGTTAAATTGACTCTCGATAAACGAAATGTATCATCTAAATTTAAATAGAAGGAGTATATTATTGGATCCAACTACTTGAAATTGAGGCGTAATTGTTGTTTTTGTTGTTAGAATAGTATAACATATATAGGATAGTACGTGGGAGGTTGGGGAGTTTTGTCAGAGGAGGGAAATCATGGGAGGAGCTGTCTCTAAAGGGAGGACACAAGATTTTTGCTGCCCGTGGCGTGTGGGAAGGTGGAAACCAGACGTATTTAGTTAACATATCATGAAATCAATACTTACACTAGTTAGTACATGTTTTCTTTGCAGTTGTGACAAAGCTAGATTGCATAATCACCTTACACCTACCATATACTAAAATTTTATTTTCTAAAAAGTTTTGGTTCTTTTAAGCTTCGATTATTTTTGGAGGTTTCCAAGAAAGAAATCCATTGAAAAAGACTGCTGCTTCAATTGGTATTTTTTTTTGTTTCACGTTCTTATAATTAACTAAATAATTTAAAATATGGGTAAACATCAATTGTCATGGTGCAAATTATTTTATTTATAACAAATTAGGATCTCTACTAATAAGAGGTGTCTAGATGATCGCTACAAAGTTAAATCATCCGTTATGAGGCCTTTTGTTGGGTCGGGGAAAGCCCTACAAGCCAGTACATCAACATAAGTTATTTGAAAGATTTTCGACAAGTATAATTTTATGACTGAAAATTAAATGTGTATTACAAATAACTAGTTAATAAATCAAAGTGCATGATTTCTTTATTTCTTAATTAGTAGAGGGAATTATTCTAAACATCCTTTATACTATAATCGGATAGTGGATAACTCAAAATTTTCAATATCACTTAATGCTTATCACCTCTCTCTCTCTATATATATATATCATACACAAATACAATCTCATATTGTAAAACCAATTGCGTTTAATGCCATAGTGATAGTGTAGTTTACTCTAATGCTAGAAAAGGTAAAATGAAGTTAGCAAAATTATACTATAATACAAAAATTCCCCTTAGGAAAGCCGACGTTCGAATATCGAAACAGGAGGAATAATTTATCAACTGAGCTGAGATTTGCTAAAATTTTCTCATGAAATTATACTCCCTCAACTGATACACTATTTTTTATTCTTTTAAAAAAAGTAAATTTTTACTAAAAATAATTTAACATTAAAATATTTATTTTATTCTCAGTAAATTTTTTATAACTATACGAATATTATGACATATTGATATATTTAGTACTATAAATTTTAATAATTTTTATTTCTTTCTTAAATTGCGTGTTAAGTCCAAGTATGACAGGTAAACTAAAATTAAAATGGAGGAGTATATGATTCTTTTTTAAAAATATAATAAATCGTGGTTACTTTTTGGTGCTTCTCGTGCGGCCCAAACCTTATTCTCCTATTAGGGCAGGAAAAGAAGACAGAGCTTACTACAGACCTTCGTAGGTTAAGACACAAGAAGAAGAAAAATTGTATTTTTCCTTCAAAAAAACAAGACAAAGGGCTCCAAATGACCAGCAGAAAGCTTGTGCGGGACTTGTTTATCTCTAAACAACCTATTTTCCGCCGAATATTAGCACCACAACAGGTTCTTGTTTGGGGGTGGGGGGTGGTGAGCTGTTTGCTTTCTTGATTGTGAAGCTATTGAATTTGTGTTTAATCGGTTTAGTTTGTTCTTTTAGAAAAGTGTTTTTTTTAAAAAAAAAATTGTGTTTGTACAGGTGGTTTATGGTAGAATTGCAACAAATTTGAGGTTGGTTGGAGCAGATAGGCATTATCTGGGCATTCGTAATTTTGGTGTATTCAATGAGTTCTCCAAGAAGGTTAAAGGCGAAGTTGACAGGTATTTGCTATCTGGTATGCTTTTTGTTTCAGTGCTGTAGCTTTTTACGTAGTTATCTGTTTTCAAAGTTGAATGATTGTAGCTTTATCATTTTTTTCTTGGATAATGGTATTAAAGAAGAAAAAATGGATTTTGTGCAAGCTGGGAAATTTTAATACTGAGAATTAAAAGCTTCTTTTTTTTAAAGGACAGTGGAGTCCGGGTTAGCTTGCACATGGTAGACTAATTCTACCATGTATCTGCTACCTCCCATTATGGTAGGTATCGGGTAACTCTGCTTTAGGCAGATTGGAAGAAATCACCTAGTTGTTTTTGCATCCGCTCAGATTCAACCTGTTCACCTTCCACTTCATTGACCGCTAGGCCACATCCTTGGGTGCAAATTAGAAGTTCCTTTTTGTAGTGATCAATGTTGGGCTTGCCATATCTAGCTCAAAGTCATGGTTTGAGGAGTTGCTATTAGGATATTTCTTGTATAAATCAGATATCATTTCATTAATTCGCTAAGGTGCGCCACAAATATAAAAAAAATTGGGGTATGTAGGTACTTTGATCTCCCTTAAAGCCCACCCAACTATCTATACAAAGGAATTCTCCACGCCTAAGTATATATGGATAAAAACGAGATATTTATATATCTTAAGTTTGCTTTGATTCATCCTCCAGTTCCTTTGGTTCCAAATGTTCCAGAAAAAGCATAATGGACGCTTGGGTGCAAGCCTCTTTACTTCCCAATTCTCCATCTTTCCATAGTCTCCAACACTATCTTTGGGGTTCCCGCTGCCCAATCAACGTTACATTGAGAGAACTCAACTGACAAATACTATGAAGCTACTCTATAGTGTTACAGCAAGTTAACGACATATGCTCGGAGCCCTTGGCACATAAATCTTCAACTTAAAGAAATCTCTTTCTTCTTTATGAGATTATCTTTGTAAGTGTTGCATTCCAGGTGACACGCCCATGTAAAAGTCGCAACTTTCTTCGGTGCTTTAGTATTAAAATCTCTTTCTACCCTGGCTTCTTATCTCCTCAATTAGGTAGACATAAGGAATAAGAGTATTATGAAAATATAAATGCAGACCCTCTTTATACCATCCTAGCCTTCCCACATTCCTCCTCAGTGTAACTGTAAAACATCTTTTTGGACACTTCCACTTCCTCGGATACTCAATCTGAATAGCTCTTCACGAGCTAAACTTCCAGTAATTTCCTTGAATGATTTCTATGATCATGTCAGCTGCAAGCCCACAAGTGCATCCTATCGTTACCAATAGCTAACACCAATGGACATAGATTGCGTCTTAATGCCACATATTCAACCAAACTTAGCCATTTCCAATGGCGAAGCCAATGAATCTCGTGAAGTCGTCTTTTTTCTTCATAATCCCTGTTTGCATGCGTACTCAATAAAGGGCTAGTTGCTTCATATGAAAGTCATCCATTCATTTCAAATATTTAGCAAACTATCTGAATTAGGTTTACTATCAGGTTCCTGTGCCTTGTCTCTCCCACAAATCCTCATTTCCCCCATCATTTCATCCATGATAAAAGGTCTTGCAAGCGCTTTCCTTTCATCAGAACTAATAATTCGAAAGGGAACTTTATCCAGCCGTGGTTTCAAATCTCCTTCTCAATGTACAAATGCTTGCATTAATAGGATTATTCCCTCTCTAATGTCTCTCCTATGAAACTTTGAAGCCATCAATCTTAATCCTTTCAATGTAATTGTATGTCCCACAAGCATCGACTATGTCCCACAAGCATCGACTATTCTATAGAACAATATAGTATTGTTATCTCCTTTTGTCATATTTTACTCCATTTCACTTTTTTGCCATTAATGATCTTCCTAGCCTTAATCCTCTCTTCAAATTTCATTCATTTCATTTCGTTCCAGGAGTTGCAATTGTTGGACAAATTTTGCTATGCTCGTGCCACTTTATTAATATGGAACACTTTGATGGCAAATTTTTACTCTAGATTTGTTAATGAGTAGTAGTTGATTCTCCTGAGCATATTTGGTGCACTGTTTTAAACTTTTGCTGCACTAAACTCTTGAGAAGATATGTCGAAATGCAGTATGAGTAACCTGATTCTGAGCATTTCTTTTTTCTTTTCTTTCTTTCCCTTTTTGGGGGTGGGTGGTATGGGACTATGGGGACATGTTGGTATCTTTAGAAGTGAGAAGGTAGAGAATGCAATTATTTCTCAATGTTATGACTAGTAAAAGTTTAACTTTTTGTGTCGCCCTTTCTATCTATTTGCTCTAATGCTTTATTGGGTGTCATTGGGCTTATTCCTCAATGCTTATGGCTGCAGAAATCAAGAATTCAAACAGTCGGTCAAGGTACTGAAGGAGAAAGCAGAGGAGTTGAAAGGGGTGAAGGAAGATCTTAAAACAAGGTGTCTTTTAGATTTCCTGTAAATATAATTTTATAGTAGTTTTAGCCTTTTCCTTAAGGGGCTGAGACATACTGTTGTATGTCAAGGCTGGCAGAACTTCCAATGGGGACCCTGAAATGGTGAACTGG